CCCCAAAACCCCCAAAACCCCAAAACCCCACATATTTAAGATAATATTGATAAAATGCGTTTTAGAATAAACATTCTTAAATTACTAATTGAAATTACTAAGATTTGTATTTAAACCACCTGTTACTCTACTTCACATTTGAATTCAAAGAGTTGGATAAGATGACATCTTAAGAATTCCACACATGCCTGGACCAGTCACGTTGTCTCTTTTGATTTTGATGTAACCTTTTTCACCCCAATTAGTTCCCCAGGTGTTCTTAACTAGCCAGTAATCTTTGCCTGATGTAGCATCATTTCCATATCCAATAAGGAGAAGAGCATGGTTAAGATTTGTTCCACAAGCGGTGCTATCGAGAACTCCAGATTTGTATTGGAAAAATGGAAGAGATGTTGCAGCCATTGCGATAGAAACTGGTTGTTTAGATACTGCTTCTAATAATGCAGCTGGATTGTTAGCTGGGAGAGCGGTATAACTTGACACTCCGACTACACCTTTAGAGGCATCATACTTGCACATACCTGCCTTTCCAATATAGGGATAATCGTCGTATTTCATAAGCTTTGCCGACTAAAGATATTTGAAAGAGTTAGTCATATAACCACCTCTACAACCTTAGTTACCGTTGCCACTGCAATCTAGAATCTATTGATTTGAGAATTCAACTAGCTTTCCAGTTTTAACCTTATATGCTCCTTCAACGGCACTTGCAGCAGAGTACGAAAAGCAGGATCCGCAACTACCTTGATTTCTAACCTAGGTCACAGCACCTTAGTCTCTCCAATCAATAGATTAAGGAGCCTTTAAAAGTCCATCACTCTAGAATTTTTTAACTTCACCCTCGCTAGTATGATCTTATTCAGAATCAATAGGTTCAATGAAAGTCATAATTCCTCTTATCTCCTCAATTGATCTATCACTAAAGTCGTTTAGTCCAAGTTTATATGAGCTACCGGGCTCAGCATTATGCTACTGAATCGCTTAATAGTTATCTCTAAAGATAGCCATTCTAGCATTGAATTCAGACTTTGTCAAGAAACTTCTCTGTTGCTTTGCAACAAAATTGTTGAAAGCAGTATTAATTACAGGATCAATCTTAACAGCCAAGTTGGTGTCTTAATGGAGATCTCTTTGAGAGATATTTATGCCTATAAGAGCTAAAGCAGCCACTGAACCAATAACAGCGATGGTTCCTGCGACTTTGTAGGATTTGTTGTAACTTTTCATTTACTAAGGTTTTCTATTTTATTTATTATTCTTTAAATAGTAACTTCCTTTTATAGTAAAAGTAGTACTAGTCTATAGTCCATAGTGACTACATATCTATCCTATAGAACAGCCCCTAGTCTATTACCACTGAAATATAACTATTTACTAGTATTTAATAATTTGAATTTTTACCGATTATCACCTTAAAATTGTAATTACGTGTATTAAATTTTCATTGAACTTGTAATAGAGTTATGCCTTATTGTCGGGGTTTTGGGGTTTTGGGG